AGCACACGTACGAGCGCCTGAGCCACATCTCCAGCACCAACCTAAGAGCCAGGTGTGGCGGTGTGCATGGGGGTGCAAGGCTCAGAGAGGACTGCTGGGGCCTGCTGTCCAACCAGTCTTGCTGAAAAACAGCAAGTTCCAGGTTCCATGAGAGATCCTGTCTCGTGGGAATACAGAAGAGAGTAATAGCAAACATTCAACATCCTCCTCTGGCCTCCCCATTCACAGGCACAGATCACACCACATGTATACACATACATGCGTGCGCACACACGCAACACACACACACACCCCTACCTTGTTTTCAACAAGTTCCAAAGGTTTTAACGACTTAAGTGGGATTTAGTTGACACAGGTCTACAGATTCCCACCACCTGACCTGGTTCTACAGTAAGGAAACATTCAAACACGTCCATTTGTCCACAGCCATCAGGGAGAATGCCTCCTGCTCAACTCCAAGTCACAGCTTGTCACAGTTTTCAGAAGGGTGTCACGGCTTTATTAAGAATGTCACAGCAAACTGGACTAAGGAGTTCCAGAGGAAGAAAAAAACACAGTCCTTCTAAAGCAGTTGCTCATGTACAGTCTAGGGGAGTAGAGAGGGGCTGCCTTGTGCTTTAGACTATGTCTATATATCTGTCACCTATCAACTATATCCATCCAACCATCCAACCATCCATCCATCCATCCATCCATCCATCCATCCATCCATCCATCTATCTAATCTACCTAACTACCTTTCTACTGACCTACCTACCTATACTGGCTGGTTTTGTGTGTCAACTTGACACAAGCTAGAGTCATCAGAGGAAGGAGCCTCAGTTGAGGAAGTGCCTCCATGAGATCCAGCTGTAAGGCATTTTCTCATTTAGTGATCAATGGGGGAGGACCCAGTCCATGGTGGGTGGTGCCATCTCTGGGCTGCTGGTCCTGGGTTCTATAAGAAAGTAAGCTGAGCAAGCCATGGGAAGCAAGCCAGTAAGCAGTACTCCTCCATGGCCTCTGCATCAGCTGCTGCCCTCGGGATCCTGCCCTGCTTGAGTTCCTGTCCCTGATTTCCTTCAGTGATAAACAGCGATGCTGAAGTGTAAGCCAAGCCCTTTCCTCCACAACTTACTTTTTGGTCACAGGGTTTAAATGCTAATTAAGACACTACCTTTGTAGTTCTGGGAGTGAAAGCTAGAGAGGCACATAAGCCACGGAAGTACTGTACCACTGAGCTCAGTCCTCATGAGTCCACCTGGCTGTGCCGGGTGATGGCTGTGCCGGGTGATGGCTATGCCGGGTGTTGGTTGGTTGGTTGGACTTGAATGAGACACAAAGCTCCATCCCCTTAGGTAAATAACTCCAAAAGCGGCTCTTCACTGTAACATGGAAACATGATGCCTGCCCTGCTGGGTTATAAGGCTGTATGAAATGATGCCGGTGAATGCACTAGTTGACAGCCTGATAGAAGTAGGTGCTGAGTAAATGTTGGCTTTCTCTCTTCCCCTTCCCCACAAAGCAGCACTCACATACACAATATCTATGCTGCAAGAGACGGTGAAGAAACCATTTAGAGTGGGCGAGGGGTCTGAATGTCCCAGATTACTGCTCTCAGTAGTGACTCTAAAAGGATCAGATATAGAGTTAGGATTCCATGAATTACCCTGCACCAGTGACTGCCTCAAAGTGGACATACAAGCAGGCTGTTCAGAGTGTTGGCCGTGCAGGGTGATGGCTGTACTGAGTGATGACTGTGCAGGGTGATGGCCGTGCCGGGTGTTGGCCGTGCAGCGTGTTGGCTGTGCAGGGTGATGGCCGTGCAGGCTGATGGCCGTGCAGGGTGATGGCCATGCCGGGTGTTGGCCTTGCAGGCTGATGGCCGTGCAGGGTGATGGCCGTGCAGGGTGATGGCCGTGCAGGGTGATGGCCGTGCAGGGTGATGGCCGTGCCAGGTGTTGGCCGTGCAGGGTGATGGCCGTGCCAGGTGTTGGCCGTGCAGGGTGATGGCCGTGCAGGGTGATGGCCGTGCAGGGTGATGGCCGTGCAGGGTGATGGCCGTGCCAGGTGTTGGCCGTGCAGGGTGATGGCCGTGCAGGGTGATGGCCGTGCAGGGTGATGGCCGTGCAGGGTGATGGCCGTGCAGGGTGATGGCCGTGCAGGCTGATGGCCGTGCAGGGTGATGGCCGTGCAGGGTGATGGCCGTGCCAGGTGTTGGCCGTGCAGGGTGATGGCCGTGCCAGGTGTTGGCCGTGCAGGGTGATGGCCGTGCAGGGTGATGGCCGTGCAGGGTGATGGCCGTGCCAGGTGTTGGCCGTGCCGGGTGTTGGCCGTGCAGGGTGATGGCCGTGCAGGGTGATGGCCGTGCAGGGTGATGGCCGTGCAGGGTGATGGCCGTGCAGGCTGATGGCCGTGCAGGGTGATGGCCGTGCAGGCTGATGGCCGTGCAGGCTGATGGCCGTGCAGGGTGATGGCCGTGCAGGCTGATGGCCGTGCAGGGTGATGGCCGTGCAGGGTGATGGCCGTGTAGGGTGATGGCCGTGCAGGGTGATGGCCGTGCAGGCTGATGGCCGTGCAGGCTGATGGCCGTGCAGGGTGATGGCCGTGCAGGGTGATGGCCGTGCAGATCAATGGCTGACATGGGCATAGTTTGTCTTAAGACTCTCAGGTAGCATGATGTGATGGAAAGGCTACAATAAATGCTTTGTAGCTTGACTTCCTTGCAAAACTAAGAAGGAACTGTGTTCTTTCTGATGGCTGAAGTATTTGGTCTCTTTCTAAAGTGCACACTAACTGTGGAATGTTCATCCACACTTAAAAGAAGTGGGTATGATTCTATTCCAAACACTCTGATGTGAAAATGTATGAAACAGCTTTTCCAAAATATCCAACAAACAATGCTTAAGAGTCCAGTGGGCTGAGTGGTTTCCTCAGCACGCAAGCCTTAAATGGTGAGTTTTCTGAATGCTTGGGGAGTGCCCAACTTTTCTTTTCTTTTCTTTTTAACAAACTGGTAATCTGTATCTACAAAAACAAAAGCCTCCTGTTCACAAAATGACATCTAGCTCTCCAGGGAACTCCTTCCCCAATTGAAAACTAAAAATAATCTGACATGACATGGTTACCTATAGCAACACTACCATTTTAGGCAAAATAAATAAATAAATAAAACTAAATCAAAGATAAATGAGAAAGGATGGAAAAATAATCTTTTTTTAGTCTATGACCTTAGCCAAGGCACGTCCTATCACCTCTTCATTGTTAAATAAAATCATTAGTAAATTTCACCTGCTTCACAAATAAATGTTGTACATGTTTTTTAATTGCTATTAATATGTGTGCGTGCCACAGTGCACATGTGGAGGTCAGGGGATAACTGTGGGAGTTGGTTCTCTCCTTCCACCATGTGGGTCCAAGGAATTGAACTCAAGTCACCAGGCTTGGTGACAAGTTCCTTTACACGCTGAACCAGGCCACTCCCTCCCATCAAAAATGCTTTTCACTAAAAGCACACTTGCCCAGACCCAGGGGGCCACAGAACATAACACACCATGTCTGTAGAGCTGTCAATCAAAGTGGCACCCAGCCCTGGTGGCACTGAGCACCCAGTGTGTGACTGATCCTATGTGTGACATGTGACCCCTGAAAGATGCATACTGGACTTGGCAGGAAGGGCTCAGTACAAACACAAGGGCACCAACAGACATCTTAATAGTTTTCTGTCATATACGTACAGGGGCCATAATTGCCCCTCTAGAGTTAAATATCATATTACAGAAAGAACTTTCTCTTGTTTCTTTTAACTGTTTAAACGTGGCCACCACTACATTTAAACTACTTTTTTTTTTTTTTTTTTTGGCTTTGGATGTCTACTGGACAGTGCCACTGATGACAGTGTTTCACTCAAGTTACCACGACCGGTCAATTTCCATATGTCATTGCCTTGCTGGCGTGGGTTCCATCTTTCGATCAAGAAGAGCCTGGACTACACTGCTTCTAGAACCTGCTGGCGCTCTGACATTCTGTAATTTGTGGGTCTGGGTGAGACAGGACTGCAGCAGTACTAAGGTGTGAGACAGGAGCTGGGATCAAGGGACACCCTGGCAAAGACAGCTCGTTGCATAAGGGACCCATAGCCTATGTCCAGGATTGAATACAGCATTGTTCTAGACGTGCCAAACTCCTTACAGAATCACAGCACCCTGCTCTTTCTGCTCTTTGACGTCATTAAGTATGGCCTCCAATCTTAGATAGTGGAGATTTTTCTAACTTAACCATACTTTTTTGTACATAAATGCAATCTGCAAAAGTTACAATGCCAGAACCTGTCAACTTCAAAACTGCAAACCTGTAAGATTCAGGTGCCATCTACAGGCAACTTGTAAATTTCAGGAACCATAACCCAGCACAGCAAGGATGCCACTGTCACTGTCTCCTCACTTAATGACTTTATCACACGCTGCCTCCAAAGGATAGTCACCTGCTGTAGTTTCTATGTTGGTCCCAAGGGTTTATACGCCGAACCTTAGTCTCCAGGCTGGTAGTAGAAGGAAGTAGGGGGATCCTTTAAGGAGTGGAGCCTAATGGAAGGTGATTAGAGCAATGGGGCGTGGCCTTAGTCAGGGTTATCATAGTGCTGGCAGGACCTCAGTAAGGGCCATCGAGAGTGGATCACTATAAAATCGCAAAATTGGTCCCTCCCTCTGTTTGGCTACTGGTCTACTCGTGTGCTCTTTCCCTCATACATTTGCTCCCACCGTGATGCCATCAGCTGTGGATGAAGAAATCCCTCAGCAGTGGCCAAACAGATATGGCCAGCTTGGTCAGGTACTTTCAGCCTTCAAAACTGTGATTTAACAATCTGTTTTATAAAATTCCTAGTCTTGGGCATTTGTTATAGTGATAGGAAAGGATGATTACCGCCTTCTCCTTGTCCGTCTATAACAAAGTCTTTCGGAGAACCTTTAACGGTTATGATTAGTTAGCAAAGAAGAACATCTTAGAAATCAGTAACATACCAACTCCATTAACTGTTTGAGCTGACCTATCTCTTCAGGCAGTGATCCCAGCTTGTTGTTACTTGCGATTAAGACTTTGAGAGGCAGACCACACAGGCAGGCGGGCAGGGCAGACAGCTGATTTCGGCTGTAAAGACAATACAACAAGAACACACATAAACAGAAAGATCACTTCATGATGCTGCCTATGAGCAGGTTCTCTTTTGTTGGTAAGTGCATTTTTCTCGGGGTTATTTGAGATAGGGGCTCTCTTGTAGCCCTGGGGGGCCTGGAATCCCTCCATAGCCCATGCTGACCTCCAAAGTGCTAGAATCACAGCCTGCACACCATGCCCAGCTGTGAACATGAGAAGATTTTTTATAAATATAAAAACTCTAATACTTCTGTCTATGAAATCACTCAAATTACTAAGTGCACAAGAAAAAATACATAAAAAAGAATGGAGGAGTAGATAGACAAGATTGGATAACAAACATCAAAATGCAATTTGACAACCATGCCGAGATTTCATCTTACACCAATCGGAATGGCCAAGATTGATAAAACACATGACAGCTCACGCTGGTGAAGACACAGAGTAAGGGAACACTCGTCCATTGCTGGTGGGACTGCAAACTTGTAGAGCCACTAGGGAAAACAGTGTGGCACTTCCTTGGGAAGATGGAAATTAATCTACCTCAAGAACCAGCTATCCCACCCTTGGGCATACTCTCAAAAGATGCTTCATCCAACCACAACGACACATGCTCAACCATGCTCATTGCTGCTCTTTCCACAGTAGTCAGAAAGTGGAAGCAACCTAGATATTCCTCAACAGACGAGTAATTAATGAAAATGTGGTACAACTATATAACAGACTCTTACTGAAATGTTAAAAAAATGAAATTCATAAGTAAATGGATAGAGCTAGTAAAAATCATTCTGAATGAAGTAACCCAGACCCAAAAGAAGAAATATGGTATCTATTTGCATATATGTGGATGTTAGCTAGTAAGTCTTCGATAAACAGACTACAATCCATATAACCATAGTGGTTAAGTATAGAGTAAGGGATGGGGGAGGGAAGGATCTCCCTAGGAAGGGGAAATAGAATAGATAGTAATTGATGGATTGGGAGAGGGGACTTGAACAGGAGCATCCAGGGAGGGGAAGGGAAAGTGGAATAAGAGGGAGAATATGGGGGGGGGCAGCTAACACTAAGGGCCATTTGAGGGGTCATATAAAAACCTACTACAGTAGAATCTTCTTAAAAAATATATAAATATGAAAGAAATCTAAATGGAATCACCAAATGACAAGGAGACAAAGCCATAACAAAACACCTCTTGCCACCAAGTGAAATCTTGAGGTTACATCTCATTGGAGTTGTTGGCCATAGGAGCCCCATGGAAACCCATAAACAACCCAGGCTATTGCCAAGGATATCGGTGGCTCTCCACAAACTGAGAGTAAGGCCAATTGCTGGAGATAACACCTCAGCAACTCACTGAACATGGAGAAGTCAGGCTAGTGCCTGCCTACAGCCTTCACCCCTGCTACCCAAAGAGAAAGTCAACACCAACCCAGCTATTAAACCTTCAGTCTACAATGGTGACCTGCACACAAGATACACAGGTACACTGGAAACACAAAAGTTGTAGGAGTAACCAACTCCTATCTGACTGGACTTAAGGCCCATTCCATAAGAGGGAACACAGACAAGACACTGCTCAGGTGGCCAATAACCTGATACCAGCTAAAGCCATGAACCTGGGGGAAAACCAAATACTATCATTCTACTAAAGCAACGTAGCAATAACATGACTCCTAACAACACTCTGCTACACTCATAGTCAGCGCCTTGTTCAGCCATCATCACAGAGGCTTCCTCCTACAGCGGACAGGAACAACCACAGAGACCCACAACTGGACTGTATGCAGAGAGTGAGAGACCTTGGAACGCTCATCCTAGATGGGATGTCAGTATCAAATCCCTCCTGCCAGGGCTCAGGGAATCCCACGGAAGAGGGGGCAGAAAGATTTTAAGAGCCAGAGGGGATAAAAGATACAAAGGAAACAGCAGGCCTTCTAGACACAGCAGGACTGACACACATATGACCTCACAGAGACCGGCAGCATGCACAGGGCCTGTGCAAGTCTAACCACTTTTATGGGCAGGTCCCACACCCAGCAGTAGATGGCCAACACAAAATGAACTGAATAGTGGTTTTGGAAGTCCTTTTTTTGGGGGGAGGGTGTCTCAAATGCTTAGTCTGGGAATTTTTTTTTCAACTTCACAGGTATTGTGCTCATATATTATGGTTTCCAGTTTGGGGTTTTTATGGGATTTCTATGTGTGTGAACGGGTATGTCTCTGCTTTGACATGTGTTTCGTGTACTTTCTCTTCAGGTTTTTTTTGGGGTTTTTTTGGCCTGTGCATTTATTTGTCTGTTTGTTTTTATCTTTTTTTTTTTCAGAAGTCTATTTGTTTTCTAAAGAGAAAGAACAAGAAAGAGTATGGATTTAGGTGTGTGGGGAGTTGGGAGGATCTGGGAGCAGTTAGAGGAGAGAAAACTGTAATTAAAATGTATAACATAAAAAAACTATTTTCAATTTTTTTTTTTAGTTATCATGAAATATTTTTTAAAAAAGAAATTTGCAATTTCAAAAAAAAAAATGCAATCTGACAGAAAGAATGCACTCTGCGGTCCTGAAGCAGAGTCGGGCGATTCAACTTTCCAACTGTCACATATTTCAGTATCAGTGATGGGCCGAAAGGTTTCCATGGAAACGTGACCACAGTTTAAGGACGGGAAGATGCTAAGCACCAGGCAGTTCCCTCCACCTGTACAGGCATCAAATCACCACACTGCAGCTCACAACTCTCCCCAACTCCTGGGTGGCATTATAAACACACAGGGGCCCTCTGCAGGAGGCAGCTTTGCACAGTGGGGTGCCACAGAGCTCCTTGGAAGGACAGAAGGACAGAAGGAAGAAGGACAACCTTTCCCTCATTTCCCTCAAACCAAGACCAATGGAGCTGGTGCTGTTACAGCCTAGGTCATAAACAGTCCCCAAAAGATGCCTCTTAAAAGCCCACCACCAGCTGAGCGGTGGTAGCCCACACCATTAATCCTAGCACATCAGAGGCAGATCTCTGAGACTTTGAGGCCATCCTGATCTACATAGTGAGTTCTAGGAACGCCAGGGCTACACAGAGAAACCCTGACTTGAAAAAACAGCAACAACAAAAAGCATACCACCTTCTGAGAGAACCATGGCGCTCTGGCCATGGAGTACACCACCTAGCAACAGACACGGAAGCAATGGTGCCTAACTGACGAGACTGGAACTTCCAAAAGAAAGCCAACCCAAACCTTTCATCCTTTTAAGCTGACCATCTCAACTGCTTTGTTACACGAACAGAACACCGTCGTCTAACTGATGCCGCTGCTCTCCCCTGACAACAGGTACAGGAAACGCAGTCAGTCAGACAGGACCGGTACTCTGCCAGCACTGTTCGGGCTTTCACATTCAGAATTCACTGCTAGAAGAGTTCTTTTTTAATGTTTGTGAGTGTTTTGCCTGCAAACGTGCACCACATGAGTGCAGGTGCCCAGAGAGAACATCTGATCTCCTAGTACGGGACGGTTGTAAAACACCTAGTGGATGCTAGAAACTGAACCTGGGTCCTCTAGAAGAACAGCAAGTGCTTTTAAACACTGAGCCATCTCTCCAGCACCTGAGACTTTTAATACTGGTTTTAAGCATGAAAAGGAAGAGAGGTGCTTGGGGTGAAACATAAAACACAGCCATGTGCATATCCTGGGTGTACATGGGTGTGGCTTCTCAAAGGACAGTCACTGTCTGTGTAGGGAGGGAATTGGTGCAACCTATAAATCAGTGGGTGGAGTTCCAATGTCTGACCCAGCTCCATACCATTAAACAGGAGCTGCTACAACTGCAGTCGGCATGAGTGCCTGCAAAGGAGCAGAGGGAAAGGAACAAGGCAGCCTTCTACCAAAGGATGCTGGTACCCGGACGGCTTCAGCTTCCCGGAGTAGCCAACAAAGGCGGACGGGGGTTTTACTCCACTCTGCCTGAAGAGATCACATAGAAGTCTCTGAACTTCCTACTGGCTGTGTTTAGTTTTCTAAGTCAGACAAAGAGTCAATGAATGAAACTCTGTTGCCTCTCCACATGTTCCTGTCAGCCAATTAGTTCAGCCTCCCCATTACCCCCAAAGCCTTTTGTCCTGCTACCAACCACAGAGACAGATGGGTTACAGTTTCTCTGATTTTCTTTCCCCCACTCTTCTGTAGATGAAGCCAATGGCATGTGATTGCAACTATTAAAAACTTCCGTGTGTTTGTGCACACATGCATGACATTTCAATGCCATGCCCTGTGTGCATGCCTATTTAGAGGCAAAAACATCTGTAAGTCACAATAAGAAAGAAAGAGTTCTAACCTATCAAAATATCATTAGTGATCATTGGGGGAGGTATCTAAAAAGTGGTTTTTATTTTCCTTTGCACATTTTGCCATATTTTCCAAAATTCCTACAAGTGTTTTTATGATCAGAAAAGAAACATCATCTAGCAAGATAAACTGGATTAGATGTTCCTCACATGGGTGTTTCTATATATGAGAACTCCCTGAGATATGCACATAACCCATGCCCGGTGGTTCATAACCTATACAGGAGACTCTGCCTCCCCTGTACATAGTTAGGGAAAGGAATTTGGTGCACAGATGGGCATCTCTGACCTATGCGCTCAGAAAAAGCAGGTGCTGTGCTGAGCAAGGAGCCTATCTAATGGAGGCCCTCCCTCAATCAACACCTCAACATCGCTCCTACTGCAGGCACATGCTGCCCAGCTCTATTAGGGTGAGAAACAGCACACCAACTATTTCCCCCATGGCCCAGATCTGCAAGAAAGCTATTTCCACAACTGGGCAGAGGAGCTTTCCCATAAAGGTCCAGCAGGAAAGAGAAGAGTTCCTGTCCCACCCCCAACCCCCCACCCCCACCCCGCCCCAGGCCTGGCTACGAAGATTAGAAAAACAGACAGACTATGACACTCTTCCGATCTCTGGGAACAGTAGAGGAGAGAAGGGGGCCACCAGCCGGCCACTCAGCCCTCT